AAAATGTTAATAATTGAAACAAAATAAGAGGGATCATGAAAATTGAAAAATCAATTTCTTCATTAACTCCTGGGGACTTAGTCGAACAAACAGAAACAAAAAAGAGTGTATGAATCCAAAAAGTCTCTTGTTGTAGGAGCTGTTTCTGTCTACTTCCACCTCTTATTGAACATGGGATAGATTCAATTCCAATCACTTTAAGGGAACTCTCAGTGACATGACCCACCTCATTATAATGCCTCGCCATAGGATACAACATTTTTCACACGAATAGCATATTTGTGTTCAGCCACTCTTAAATGCATTTTCCTCTTTGTCTGACCTACATAAAAATATCCACACTCACATTCTAGCCTATAGACTACATTCGAGGAATTGCAATTAATAAAAGACTTAATTGGATATACTTTCCCAGAAGAAACATCAGTAAAACTATTAGTTCTCACCATATTATCGCAATGTTAACACCGCCCACATCTAAAATTCCCTACTAGAGAGCCAAGCCACGTTATCTTTTCAGGGGCAGGAAGATAGCTGCGTACTACCTTATTTCGTATAGCTGGTGAATGTCTATAACTGACCATTGGTTTTTCTCGAAAAATTGCCCTGAGGGTGCTGTCACTTTCGATAATGTTCCAATTGTAATTTATTATACGCTTAATTTGTGTTGCTTCACGGCTGTAAGTTGTTGAAAAGAACACCTGATTATAATCATTAAAGCATTGTTACACTTTTTTCTTCTTACACAATAGTTGTTTCCTATCTATTGATTTAACTTTCTCTGTGGCCCTGGTTAAAACTTTAGAGTCATAACCCCTCTGTCGGAATCTGCTGGTCATGTCCTGTAATTGAGTTTCATAATCGTCTTCTCGATCACAAATACATTTCAATCTTTGAAATTGGCCATGAGGTATGTTTTCAATCAGCCAGGGTGGATGAAAACTGTTAGCTCTAAGAATCGTATTTCGATCAGTTGGTTTCCTAAAGATCGAAGTATGTAGCTCACCATTGGCCTCCTTAGTTATTTTCAGATCAAGAAAATAGATTTTAGACACTGAATATTCAAAGCTCAATTTTTACATTTCTATTTATGCCATTGACATACTGGTGAAACCTGTGCAATTCTGATTCTGAACCAGACCAAATCATCAGGACATCATAAATTGTGTGTTTTTTTCCCCATTATTATTATTATTATTATTATTATTATCAATCTTTATTTATTATTATTTATTTTTTGTTATTATTATCCCCCCCCCTTTTTTTCTTTCTCTCTCTCTTTTTTTATTATTATTCTTCCCCCCTTCCCCTTTTTTTCTCTTTGTAATAAGAGGCTAGTCTTAGCCCCTTAACCAGCTGTCTTTGATGATTCATGAATTAACACTAGTGTAAGAATACCTGTTGAGCAATTGATGTGTGTCCTGAAGAAGCCTGTTTTGCCGAAACGCGTAGATCTACTTTTAACTAGTTGTAATGATTTAAGCCCAGTTCATTAAAGGCTTTTTATCTTACCACGTGAGTGCCTTGGAAGTATTTCGCGATCAGATTTTTTCATTCAGTACTGGACTTCAGAAGCTACATAAATACATGTTTCCCAGATGACCAAATATGAACAATTTACCCTGATCATCCAATTTAAAAAATGTAATGCATTGTGTGGCCTTCTTGAGCATCAGTAAATGTTTTCACCTTCTGTAATAGTTGTGTATGAGTCCCTCAGTTGTCCTCAGTGTGAAAATATGGATCACTAAATCATACAGTCAATGTTGGAAAGAGTTCAAAAATGCAGAAGATGCTGGAAAACCAAAGAATGTGCAGGAGCTGGAGGATTTTTCTGAAGAACAGCAGGCAGTTGAACTGTTCAGGACCAACAAGGGACTCATGAACAACTATCCCAAAATATAAAAACAGTCGTGGATCATCCAGGAAATAACACATAGTATTAAGATTCAAGGGTATGTAAACTTTTGAATGGGGTCATTTTTATAAATTCAGTTATTATTTTGTCTTGTGGAGTATATGTAAACATCTTTTATGTGAAATAGCTTATTCAGGACAGTATTAAATAAAAAAATAACAATGCATTTTTATTTCAATTATTAACATTTTGCACATTCTGCAAGGGGTATGTAAACTCATGAGCACAACTGTATATATACTCTAGTGTTCAAAAGTTTGAGGAAAGTATGAAAGAAAGAAATCTTTTTTATTTCAGAAAATCAGCTGTTTTCAACATATAATCAGAAATGTTTCTTGAGCATAATTCAGCTTTACATCACAGGAATAAATTATATTTTAAAATATATCACAATAGAAAACAGTTCCTTTAGATTGTAATACTTTTTGACAATATTACTGTATTCTTGATCCAATAAATGCAGCCTTGGTGAGCAGAAGAGACTTCTTTCAAAAACATTAAAAGAATCTTACCACCTCCAGAGTTTTACAACACTGTAAACCAAGAGTTGAGTTTTCACTGAATCATGAACGGACAGAGTGTTCAAAACAAAATGTTGAACTTACAGGTCCAAAACCACCTCCGCTGGTGACAAATTCTGGATGCCTCTTTAAATCAAACAGGTCGAGCTGTTGGAGAGGAGTCTGACTGGTGGACAATCTCCAGGGCTCGGACAACACCTGCAACAAACCCAACCAATGTTTTTAGCCAGCAAAATCTATGAAATGGATTGCATTTTAGCTTGTGGCGCATCTCACACCTCTTTGAGAAAAGCCGAATCTTCCCCGAGGTACTTTGACACCAGGTAGAGGCAGAAAAGATGGCGGTCGATGCCATCTCCCGTCATGGCCAGTCTGTATAAATCCTGGTGCTTTTCTGCCGCCACCTTCAACAGCTTCAACTTCTCTTCTCTCTAAGAAAAAAAAAAACATGGTGGAATTATCAGGAATAAGCAAACACACTGAAACGAGCTAGCCATTAAACTAAGTCCCACCGTTGCTTTGTCATTCATCATGGCACGGACAAAATCACAGGTCTGAGTGGTGCAGGAGCGCACGGTCTCAGTGCGGCCCTCTCTGAACAGACGAGTCATGGAGGCTTCGTACGTCAGGCAGAACTTGCCTTTATCCTGCGGGAGGAAAATCTGAACATATAACACAGGAACCTGAGGAAAAATCCAAAGAATTGCAGAAGAATCGCTCGTACCCTGAAGTGCGCCAGCTGGAGGGCGATCTGAATGAAGCCGTCGGGACTCGTCTTACATTTCTTGATCAGGCCTTTGCCAAAGTCGTTAAAGGGGATGATGTGCATGTCCACGTCGTCCGCCAGAGCTTTGGCAACTTTCAGAGAGCTGCTGATCACTGCCTGGCACTGTGAAGGAAAGAGGCCGCTCCTTGTTAAATTATGAAAGCAAAGCATGTTTAAAATGGACAAAACATTTGAAGTGACCTCCTCTGGGATGTCCCACTGCAGTCTCTGGGGTCCCAGCAGGTTGGGATGGGGGTTTCCTTTGCAGTGTCCGTCCTCAGTATAGCCCAGTCTCACTGGATCTGATGACAAGACATGCTGCCACAATAGAAACAGAACCCTTTACAAACATCACATTATACTAACTTTTTTTTTTTCATTTTTATTCAGCAAGGATGCATTAAATTTATCAGAAGTGACAGTATTGTGAACGTCCCTTTAAAAGTACAGTTCACCCAAAAATGAACATTGTGTCATCAATTACTCACCCTCATGTTGTTCCAAACCAGTATGAGTTTCTTTCTTTTGCTGAACACAAAAGATATTTTGAAGAATGTTGGTATCCAAAAAGCTGACGGTAGCCATTGACTTCCATAGTATGGAAGAAAAAAGAATGCTATGTAAGTAAATGGCTACCGTCAACTGTTTGGTTACCAACATTCTTCAGAATATCTTCTTTAGTGTTAACAGAAGTAAGAAACTTATACAGGTTTGGAACAACTTTGAGGGGTGAGTAAATGATGCAAATTTTCTTTCTTGCCAAAACAGTTCATACATCTCAATATCTCAATAAACTGGTTTATTCACCTCCCACAAATGGCTAACGACGGGCGCATCGGCCCAGGAGTGCTCTGCATTCAATCCCATAGTGCCGTTCTTGAACACAATCAGATTGAAAGACTTGTCAAACCACCTGGAGACAAAAAAAAAAAGTGAAAAAAATGAAAACATATACTACCTTTCAAAATTTTGAACCTTACCAACCTTACCAACAGTAAGGTTTAATTAAAGACATCTATTCTGCTTAACAATGCTGTATTTATTTGAAAACTACAGTAAAAACTATAAAAATGTGAAATATTATTACAATTTAAAATAGCTATTTTCTATTCAAATATATTGTAAGATGTAATTTATTCCTGTGATTCAAAGCTGAATTTTCAGCATAATTTCTTATTATTATCAATGTTGAAAACAGTTTTTGCGACTTTTTTCTTTTATAAACAGAATGATTCTTTCATAAATAGAAAGTTCTAAATCAAATAAATAAATATAATTTTAATTGCTAAATTAATGAATACTATTAAAGAATATGTTTGTACTCATTAGGGATGGCTCGATACCACTTTTTTAGAACCGATACCGATCCGATACCAAAAATTCTGATTATCTGCCGATACCGATATCAATCCGATACCAGCGCAGTTTTTTTAAACGAGTGTATAATTTCTATACCTCAATGTGTAGGTCGATCATCACTATTTTGTATGTTACACACAATCTACTAAATATAGACAGCTTCATTATAAAGAAAAAATACCAAACAAAAAAATATCAAAATCTATGACAAAAATATTATTATAAACTAGGTTGATGGATAATTCAGTAGCAAAAGTTACTCTAGAAAAATCATGAGGGCACAATAATTTTATAAAATATTAAACTTTTAGTGAAAAAAAAAATACATTATTTAGTGGGTAACAAACAAAAGTGAATAAGTGTAGGGCTAAATCTGGTAGGCCTACACATTGCTCTTTGTATTGTTGTAAAATACATTCATGAAAAACAAGTAATATATTTATATATAAATATATACTATAGTAGTCAACATTTGAAGTGGATCAAAACCTTTCATCAAAGTTGTCCTAAAACCAAAACAATACCCATTCTTGTCTTACGGCAACTTTGATTAACTTTTTGAATCCACTTCAAATGTTGACTACTGTATAAATTAAAAGACATTTCTTTTAAATGTATAGCAGAGTAATGAGGCAGCAACATATGATAGATAAGACCAACAAGAAAGGCTATTAATAATCTTTCATTGCACAAAAGCATTATGATACTAAAGGCTACAAATACAGAGCAGCTCAAAGCACGCAGCACAGAGAAGTTCAAAGCACAAAGTGAAGAGATATTGATGCGTAGTGTATTAAATATGTGCGTTAGTTTATTGAGCCTTTTCTTTTAACAGTTTTACATTTCAGTTACTGTGCTCATGACGAACAATTCATAGTGCTCTCTACTCCAGTCTTGTGATCTAACCAGATATCCGGTAGAAATTTACACGATTTAGAAACAGCACGAAACTCTATCAAAATAAATTCCTTTTATGCAAAACCATTTATCTTTATTTACAGATCAAGTATATCATTAGGAACATTTAATCATCTTGGAGAGAGTTTCATCGTCTTGACTGTCATAACCGAACGTGACAAACAGTTTGAATGCTGAATGGAGGATGACAGACAGCCGCAGCGGAGAGAAGAGTTTACGTGAAGACTTAAATATTTATCTGTACCTCACATTAAACTATGGAAAAGCTTCAGAACACTTGAAATATAGTGCACGGAAACTTTATGGTGCTTTATAATGTTTTTGTGGCTTTCGTGGGGCTTAATAATAACACAGAATAGTATACGCACTATATTGGATTTGGATCGGTCTCGTCTGACCGATACCCCGATCCAGCAGAAAATGCCAGTATCGGAGCGATACCGATACCGAATATCGGATCGGCGCACCCCTAGTACTCATTTCTTTAAAGAAATCTTACTGACCCCAAACTTTTGAAAATTACATTAAATGAACAGAAATATATTAAGTTGCACAATAATCGGATTTAATTCTAATCAAGCGAGGTCATAGTCACCTGTCATGGCATTTTCCGTGGAGCAGAGATTTGCCATAGCTGTCCAGCGACTGCACTGGATTCTCTGGATCGTAACGCTGTTCGGTGTCATCCAGAGAAACAAAGAAAGCCGCCTTCTCCACGGCATCCAGAGACTGCTTGTTCTTCCCTCGACTGAAGAACTGTGAGCGGGCTTTGGCCCAGGGAACTCTGGGTAATGAGGAACAAAAGCAGAGATAAAATGACCTGGATCAACGCTTGTTCTTTAATGGGCTTTGATCACATTTTAGTGAACAGAAAGAGAAGAAACAACGTCTGGTTCATGAATGAAAGCTGCAGTTTGTAGATTTCGCATACACAATGTTTCCAGCTCAAGTCCACAGTTAAAAGAAACCTTATTTAATTTATTAATGCAATCTCATTGACTATGATATTTAAAATATTTTTTTATTATTATTACTATTTTACAATATAATTTTGCGTTATTAATTACCAAATATTTTTAAAATTATTTAAAAAAGTAATAAAAAATCAATTTAATTAAAAAAATAAGTATTACAAATAATAATAACAAATAAAAATAAACTATTTAAAATAAATAAAATAACTCGCCTGTCACCCGCTGTTAACGCGGCCAGCAGCTCCTCTCCTGGCTGAGGTTCAGACTTGTCGGCCAAGATCCTTTCGAACTGCTGCTCAATTTCTCGAGGCAACAGCAGCCGTCCGTCATAAAACATCCACACTTTGTAAAAGAGTCCCTTGTGATACACGGCGATGTGTTTGCTCTCGTTCATGTGCTGAAGGACGTCTGATGAAGAATACGGATGTGAGGATGGAGATGTGTCAATGTGCATGAAAACAATCATTTCAAATAACTTAATTATTTGTACAGTTTAAATTAGGCAAAATGTGTCATATTTAGGCTGTATTTGTTAGGGGTTAAATGATTAATGGTGGTCAGTAGACAATGACGAGTAAAGCAAAAGGTGAGATGAGAAAGGCAAAGTAGAAGGCTTGTTTTTCTGCACTGGATTTGCATAAACACATTATAAATACGTGAAACATACACTTATTACTATTAACCAAATAATTAAACGAATGAACATTAAATATTAATATAAATAAAATTATTTATGCAGGAAATTGTCTGCCTGCAACATGATTCAAATAGATGATATATTATTATTATTGATTATTACAGTATTGTTTTTTAATTATTTTAATGATTATCATATGTAATAGAAAATTATTATTATTATTATTATCATCATCATTACTGATTAAGCGTGTTAATTATATTTTATTATTGATTATTATTATATTATGTATTTTATTGTCTGCATTAATAGTGTACATGCACTCTAAATTATAGACTTATTATTTATAAACTTATTATTATTATATTGTTATTCTTTCTTTTGCATTAATAGTACACATGCATCTTAAAGTATAGTTTATTATTATTATTGGTATTAATAATAATAATATAATTAGTTATAGTACAAAATTATACAATGATTAGAATGATTATCATTAGTAAAATTATTATTATTATTATTGTTGTTGTTATTGTTACTATTATTACTGATTAAGTGTTTTGATTACATATTATTATTGAATATTATATGTATTTTATTGGTTTTGGTTTTCTGCATTAATAGTATACATGCACTCTAAATTATAGTTCAATATTAATCATCGTTATCATCATCATGTAATAGATCATCATTATTATTATATTGATGACTATTATTTATTGCTTTTTGATTTTTGCATTAATATTTACGCACTCTAAACGAGTTAAGTTATTCTAAATTATTTTTATCTATATTTTAATTCAATAATAATTTATTTTACTATCATTTAGTAAGAATTAGTAACTCAATTCCACATATTTCCACTTTGCTGTGACAGCACATTATCATTATTACGTTATTATATTATATAAATCTTCTAAATGATCTTGCTGTAGATTAAGTCATTGAGTAAAGTATATTTATTAGCTACTAAACTGGAATTAATTCAGCGTTTAAAACCTCTTGAATTTATTACAGTATGTTACAAATTAGTAGCAATAAAAACAACAGTCATCTTTGACTGGCACCACTATACAGCCAGACGGGTGTAAAAACATGCTATTTCCTGTTCCCCATTCATCCTGTTTCAGATAACAGGTTAAACATTAAATCACACAAATAGGTTATCAAGTTAAGAATCAGTTAAGCACACAAAAGTAATTCCTCGTCGTCTGCTTCCTCCAGAAACACCAGCCAATCCAAATCACAAACCCTTATGCAGTTCAGGTCCACAGCAGTCGCTCGCTAGCATCTAAAAGCGGATTGGTTGCGAAGTGAAGCAGGCGAGAGGGAAGCTCTACCTGTTTCTACACCGGGAACTCGACTGGTGTTGAACATACGCTCGTACTGAGATGAGCACATGGGGATTGTGTTTAACACCATGAGCTGTGAAGCAGAACGGAAGGTCAAACACGAAAACAAGGAAGAAACCCAAAATACCTGTAGAGGAAAACTGGAAACTAAAACGGAAAAAGTGGAAAGAGTGAAGGATCATCAGGAGAGATGAATTCAATGTGATGACCAGCCGCCGAATAACAGCACAGCTGCCAAATGACAAAACAGCCTATACCTTCTAAAAACACTTTCAAAACCGATATAACAGTCAGGCAGATGCAATATATGATATTTGATATTTTAGGATTATTTGATAGTGGTCGTCTGATGTGCGTTTTCCAATAGTTCAGGCAAATTTGAAGAGTGTGGGGTGACTGATGAACAACATACAGTACAGAAAAAAATGCTCTCGTGCTGTAAATGGCATGAGAGCAATTCTAAATAAATAACATTTAAAAACAACATTTTTAATTACATGAAATTATACAATTATATAAATATATTATATGAATAATATATAATTAAAATATACAATATAAGATGAATAATATAAATAATACATAATAATACTAATGTATTATATTAATATCAATATATTATTAATATTATGATTATTATTATAATGAATTATTATTAGGGCTGTCAGTTTAACGTAATTAGTTATGAAAAAATAACGAGATTAAAATATTTCAACGCAGTTAACGCACTGGCCCCGCCCCCAGACCTGTACGTCATCTTACATTTCATATAGTTGACAGTTGACAAGCAAGACAACAACTCCATAAATACAGTTATGCCGTAAAATTCAATATATTGGGGCAAAAATGCTCCTGTATGAGTTTTTGTCTCATATTTATATGACATGATAAGCGATATCAT